AGACGGGGCCAAACTCGGGATCGTCCAGCACAGCTCCCGTGGAGGGGTCCAGCAGATGCAGCGTGGCATCTCGTCGGTCCACCGAGGAGTCGTCAAATCGGGTTAGGCCAAAAAACAAATAAGTCTCCGGTTTCTGGTATGCGCGCGCGTCGCCGTAGCCATGCGCGTCGGCAAAATGAACAAAAAGAGGTTTTTTTCAATGAAAGATGATGTCTCAAAACCGCCAAATTCACTGGTTTGACTGGAATCCTGCTGCTGCACTTTATTTTAACGTGTTTTTTTTAGATGGGGTTATGATCGAGAATAAGCTTTATGTGGCCTCTCTGGACTCCCATTTGCAGTCAACAGCCGACATTTGAAGCAAGGAAAAAAAAAACAGGTAAAAAAAAAAAAGCCGCGTCGCCGCACCCCTTTTTTGGGCAAGCTCCATACCAGAAACCGGAGCCTTTTTTAGGCCTTATCGAAGGGATCATCGAAGGGTGGTGGAATGAAAACAAACACACAAGCAAAACCAATACACCTCAAATGCTTTGAAGGCGGTCCTGCATTGTCTTTTCTTGTCACGGTAGTGTACAAAACAAGTTGGGGATATTAACCAATCTGTGGTTTACTTATTATAATGTGTTTGGGATTTTTATATTAATAAATGTTTTAACTTGAGGCTTGATAAAGAATAGCCAGGGGTTAAAAAGGAAACTTTAATGTAAAAAAAAACCCGGAAAAGTGGTTTATTGAAGTGAACAAAATCTTTGGATCGGGTTCTGTAATAAGCAGACTCACGTATAACATCGAGCAGCACAGTCGCACTATAATCCTTTGAGCCTAGGGACAGCATCCTACACACGTAGACACCTCCTGATGTCTCCGTAACAGGGTCGATGGTCAAACTGCAAACCTTGTGGGTATCATTCCAGAGGTCGATGACGTTTTGATCGTCACAGATAGGCCAGGTCAATGGCTTGTTGTTGAAAAGCCATCTAAATAAAATGTCTTTCCCTATGTAATCACCGGAAAGGATGCACGTGCACGTGAAGGTGATGTTGGATCCAACGGTGGCATATTGTGGGTTTCCTCCCTGGATCTTGAGTTCTACCGCTCCAGCTTCAAAGAAAGTTGAAGATCCGCATGAAATTATATTGTAAACCCGACGACTGGAGGGGGAAAATCAACGCGGCTTGCCCTAAATGCGCTATGTGCGTTGACAGTGGGTCGACATGTAGGCGCGTATCCAGCCGGGGGGGGGGGGGGGGGAGGTGGCCAACCATAGAAACCCATTGAAAATTATGCAACCCCCCCCCCCCCTTTGCTCTGACACCTGAAAACAATTATATTGGTAATAATATACACCTTGGTACAAAATACGGACAGAGCCAGCTGGGTTAATTCTTGTAAAAATTCCTGGATCCGTTAGACGCATCGATCACGAACCGAACTCGTGATTTATACGGAGTAACCAAAAATAAACCACACATACTTATGGGCAAGGACGGCAGAGTATACACGAGCCTGCTCCGACGAAATTATCGAAGCTTAATTCTTCAATTCACAACAGGAAATTATATTCACCAGTGATTATTTTTCCTGCACCAGTGATTATTTTTACCTGCATTTACTTTGATTTCTATTCAGTGAAGAATAATGGGCTTACCTTCGGAAGCATGCAAACAAGTCAGCACAAATATCGTTACGAGGAATAAAACCGCCATGTTGAACAAAAGGCTCTGAAATTTAATGTTCCGTCTATAGGCCTATTATGTGGTTCTGAAAATGAAATTCTCACAGTGATCAGTAAATGCTGCTCTTTGCCTGTGCATTAATAAAAACAAAACAAATAGGAAACAAACCTCATATATTGTGAATTTAGTTCTCTCGTACGTATGAGTGCAGTTCTGCTTTCACTTTCTTTAAAGGAAATTTAAATGGAAACCATGTATTTTTGCTGATTCAAGGAACAACGAGACAATGAATAACACATTATTAACCCGTCAAATGTTCAGCTTGGTAAGATATCATGATATAAACAAGTGTACGAATACATTTTCTTATTTTCCTCGACTCAAAACCAGCTCATTTCCAAAATGTTAATTGATGTAGGTTTTGACTGGGATCCTAGTATTACTTTTTTATTTATTTCTTATTTCAACTGGGTGTCCCATTCAGTGGAATCCACTGGCCTCCCATGAGTCCCACCATACACAAAATACAACAAACACAGCAATCAATATTAAAAGACATACACATTAACATAAAGTCAGATTAATTTTAAATGTCATCAAGCATATGGGAAAATAGGACCCCAAGCTAATAACCAGAAGCATTAACCCCGTATTTCCCAGTTTGTTACTCGGGGAAAAGTTGCATTCTCAACTTAATTTGTTCATTGGGAGCATTATTCGCAAAACAAATTTAAGCCGTTTAAGTCAAACCATCCGTCGCGATCGAGGAAGTTATAATAGTTCCTCTTGTCTAGAACATGACATATTAGCCCTACAGGAGCATGATGCTTGATTTAGCCTATATAGATATTGAAAGAAAGGGCAGGACAGCAGACTGGTGACGAGTCTATGATTGGTTGATTCGCTCTCCTTTAATTACTGATTGTTCTCAAATTACAATGATGAAGATAGTAGCTGAGCTGATTAGGTTAATTTACTGATGAAGACTTTAAGCCGTGGAATGGGAGCCGTGAACTGCAATGGAGGTTGTGTAAGCCGTGTGGTAGGCCGTGGTTCTACAAGAAAAAAAAATAATACAATAATAAATATTGGAACCTACATTTATGAGGTGACATGTAAAAACACATGAAAATGGACTAAGATTCATGTAATAATTTTCCCCAGTATCAACTAAACTATCTAACAAACTGAGGGATTAGATAAGCTATTATAAGCCCCAAATTACACTAAATTAACAAGCAATAATGATGAAATATGAGGGCATAATCCTTAGTAAAAAGATCAATAAAATGTACGTACATGTACCCATAAAACAACATGTGATGAAACCCACGTTATTTATCCATTACAACCCCCCCCCCCCCACAAAATATCCCTTAAAATCATCTATAAATCTACTCACTTTTAGCTTCTACGCATGGCCGCTGATGGACGGCATACAGATGATTAGGTAAATTTGGGTTAACATGGGATTTTACGTTTGATTGAAGGTACAATTGGGAGATTTATCGGAATGATTTCAGGACAAATGTGACTAAAATTGGAATCACGTTGGAATTTTCTAGATTCATAATCACGAGAGGGCGCTATACCAATTTAACGCTTAGACACTTTCGTACAGCCGCCCCTAAATTTGACCATAAAATTTACTAAATCTGAAAGTGTCCCTAAGAATCACAAGAGTAATGATACAAGTTAAGAGTTTAGGTGTTGTCGGGTTCAGTAGCTGAGCTGATTAGGTTAATTTACTGATGAAGACTTTAAGCCGTGGAATGGGAGCCGTGAACTGCAACGGAGGTTGTGTAAGCCGTGTGGTAGGCCGTGGTTCTACAAGAAAAAAAAAATAATACAATAATAAATATTGGAACCTACATTTATGAGGTGACATGTAATAACACATGAAAATGGACTAAGATTCATGTAATAATTTTCCCCAGTATCAACTAAACTATCGAACAAACTGAGGGATTAGATAAGCTATTATAAGCCCCAAATTACACTAAATTAACTAGCAATAATGATGAAATATGAGGGCATAATCCTTAGTAAAAAGATCAATAAAATGTACGTACATGTACCCATAAAACAACATGTGATGAAACCCACGTTATTTATCCCTTACAAACCCCCCCCCCCACAAAATATCCCTTAAAATCATCTATAAATCTACTCACTTTTAGCTTCTACGCATGGCCGCTGATGGACGGCATACAGATGATTAGGTAAATTTGGGTTAACATGGGATTTTACGTTTGATTGAAGGTACAATTGGGAGATTTATCGGTGAATCTGCCAAAGATTACCGACGAAAATATGCTGTGCGCAGATCCAGAAGATTTTATTGTCTTGTACAACTTCTGACAGTTTTGGTAGTCGTACACTTGTCAGGCTCAGGTATAGGCACAGATTGACTACAATAAATAAAATGGAAAATAAAATGTATGTGTTACAAGAAATAATCCCGAGTTTGTGTAACCTAATTAACAGAATCAGCTGACTGAATTACATATCACCTACATGTACATGTACTCTAAATACTTGCACACAAATGTCCAAACTAAAGGCTAAATACACGTACACATGTGTGTAGAACCCTACAATGTACAAGGACAGATGAGCTTATCGGCCATGACCTAAATGCAAGAAGGGTTTATGTACACCCTGTATGATACTTGTACATGTGCTTAATAACAAGATCCAAAATAACATGCGTGGAAAATACATGTACATTTGTACATCTTTTAGGCTTACAAAATATCACTAAATCTCACAGTAATTACTAGATCATTGATATAAATTATTTAAGAGTAACCAACCGTTTAATAAACCTTGGCCAGTTAATGCTTTGGGCGAAGAATTCCACAGGTTGCAAATTCTGTCGTCATTGACATGATTGAGCTGAAGCCATGTTGCTTTTTGCTTAGCTCCCGTATTCCCGCAACAGCGCCCTCACTTGGCAAAACAAAAAATAAGAAATCTATCTGAGTTTGGCCGCTACATACCGGCCCTCTAATTGGTTATTAATCAATAAGCAATTACATAATACCAATAAACAAGGTCAAACTTTACTATTATCTTTAAACTAACACTTGAAATCTTGGTGGATACAACGCATAACAATATGTCTGTAAATACTGACAACTACTCAACACTGCCTTCAACTAGAAGACATAGCTTTGTTACAGGGCGAACTAAAGTAGAAGTTTTGTCTTCAACTTGACACTTCTAACAAATCCGTTCTTGTCCTTGACAACTTCAAGTACTCTGCCAAGCGCCAACCACCAACACAATGTCTCCCACAGTCACATTCCGCTTGGGGTGGGTTCATTTTTGCCTTTCTTGAAGTATAGGCAGATACTCCTTCGACCATCTGTTCCAAAAGAGGTCTGCGAAATACTGAACTTGTCGCCACTGCTTAACAGGATATTTATCATGCTTGTCAAACAACCCAGGAGGCAGACTCTCGCCCGACCGTTGAAGAAGCAGATGATTCGGAGTCAGGACATCTAGGTCGTTGGGACTGTTAGGGCATTCGGTAAGTGGTCGTCCATTCATGATAGCTTCTACCTCACACAACAAAGTTTGGAGAGCTTCATCACTCAGATGAACATGCTGTTCTCGCATCAGAGAGTAGAGGATCTTCCTGACGCTTCTAATCAAACGCTCCCATATTCCTCCAAAATGTGATCCTGCTGGAGGATTAAATTGCCAGGATATGCCCTTCTGTAGCAAGTTGTCATGGATTTTCTGTTGGTTCCAGGTTCTCATCTGCTCACGCATCTCACGTTCTGCGCCAACCAAATTGGTTCCATTGTCAGAGAGAATGCTCTTTAATGATCCACGACGGGCACTGAATCTGCGGATTGCATTGATGCATGAATCCGTGTCAAGTGAATGCGCTAACTCCAAGTGGACAGCTCGCGAAGTCAAACAAGTAAATATGACCCCGTACCTCTTCACCATACTTCTACCACGTTTCACCTCAAAGGGACCAAAATAATCCATTCCAACCTTGCTGAATGGAGGTTCATTCAACGCAAGTTGCTCTCGTGGCAGACTGGCCATTTTCTGCTGCTCAGCCGGGGTTTGGTATCTCCTGCAAGTGACACACCTCGAGACGATACCCTTGATGATAGAAGGTGCTCCAATTATCCAGTAATGTCGTCGAAGCTCTGCTAGGATGGCATTTTTGCCCAAGTGTCCAACTGACTTGTGTATATGCTGAAGAATAAGCCTGGAGACAGGTGAGTCTCTTTGCATCAGTACCTGGTGCCTGGACTCAAAGTCGAGATCTGCTCTACCAATCCGACCACCAACACGTAGAAGTCCATCTACCAGCTTAGGATCAAGCTTTCTCAATGAAGAAGACTTCTTGACTACCGAGGATGGTTTTCCCTCCGTCTCGTTGAGCAATTTGATTTCGTCCTTCCAATGTTTCTGCTGGACATGGTACACTAAAACCCTCTCAGCAGCCTCAAGGTTCTCTGTGGTAAGTCGAGTATGGTTAAGACTTTCTCTGTCACCTGATGAAAGAGTTTGCTTAACTCTGCTCTGCTCTGATTCGAGCTTCTGTGAACGGTGCAACGCATTGGGTTCTTGCTGTTCTAACTCTTGCTGTGCTGGCTCCTGTTTCAACCTCTCGCTTGCAGCTACTCTATCTTGGAGGCGCTTCATCACAACCAATATCCAAGCAACTGCCCGTTTCAGCCTGGTCCAATCTGAATAGTGCTCCAGAAGTCTGTCAACCGGACCGATAGGTGTCTCTGCTGTCATCAGCACAGTCTTCTTCACCTCAGCATCATTATCTGGTAGCTTGGTAAGACCGGCATCTTGCTGAGGCCATTCTGTTTCTGGCTGAGACAGGAAGCCTGGACCCTCAAACCACATGGAGCACTGAATAAACCTTTTCACTTACTGACCACATGTTGCACAATCAGCAGGGTTGAATTTGGTATTCACGTACTTCCACTGCTGCAAGCAAGAGGCATCTCTGATTATTGCAATGCGATTTGCAACAAAGGTCTGGAAGCGACAACTCTCGTTTGCGAGGTACCGCAATACCGTCATACTGTCTGTCCAGTAGTAGGTGCCGTGTATGTTGCAGTCCAGCTCTTGAGTAAGCACTTTGCCAAGTCTAACTGCGATGGTTGCTGCTGTCAACTCCATACGCGGGATAGTCATCTTCTTTAAAGGTGCAACCCTTGCTTTGCCTGTAACAAGCGAACAGCTGACGCGCCCAAATTCATCACAAAGCCGGAGATAGGCAGCCACACCATACCCTACGTCACTAGCATCTGCAAAGATGTGAAGCTGACAGCTTACAACCTGCCCAAACCCTGAAGGCTTGTAGCATCTCCTGATCCTAAGCTGATCCAGGTCTTTCACCTCACTGAGCCACTGATTCCAGATTCTAAGATCTTCTCCCTGGATCTCTTCATCCCATCCTATGTCTCGTCGACAAAGACTCTGAAGGAGAATTTTGGCCTTCAACACGAAAATAGCTGCGATACCCAGAGGATCATAAACTGAACTCGTGAAAGAAAGTATTCCTCGTCGTGTTGCAGGTTGCTTTGGCAAACTGACTTTGAACCCCAAGCTGTCTGATTCCACAAACCAATAAACCCCCAGAGCTCGCTCATTGGGAAGGTTCTGATTCTCCATCGACAACTCTCTGATGTCTTTTGCCCGTTCCTCTATTGGCACCGTCTGCAGAACCTGATGGCTATTTGACACCCATTTTGTCAGATGAAAGCCGCCTTGTTTGCACAGGGCTGTGGTACTCTGGATCAAATGAGCAGCTTCTTGTTCTGTACCAACCGAGACAAGACAGTCGTCTACATAGAAACTTCTCTTCACTATGTCACATGAAGCCTCTCCGTAGTCACCAACATTATCCTCAACAGTTTGCTTAAGAGCAAAGCTTGAGCAACTCGGTGAGGACACTGCTCCGAATGGGTGAACTTTCAGACGATAGGCAACCGGCTGCTCTTTGAGATTGGCATTTGGCCACCAGAAGAATCGGAGGCAGTCACGGTCTTCACTGGGAACTCTTACGTGGAAAAACATTGTGGCTATGTCTCCCATTATAGCTATCTCCTCTTGACGGAATCTCAGGAGTACACCCATCAGACTGTTTGTGAGATCTGGTCCTTGGAGTAAGACGTTGTTCAAAGATGAACCCAGGTATGTAGCCGCACAATCGAAGACTACTCTAATCTTATCGGGCTTGCGGGGATGATAAACTGCATGATGCGGAATATACCACACCCTGCCGCCTGGCCGATGTAGGTCTTCTTGTGGGACCTTTTCGGCGTAGCCTTCACTCATAATCTTGAACATGAACTCTTTGTAGTCACTGCCGAATTCACTGTTTCTCTGTAGTTTGTGTTTCAGACTATCAAGGCGCTTCAATGCCATTGACTTGTTGTCAGGTAGCTTTACATCTTCTGCTTTGAAAGGTAGACCAATACAGTAGTGACCATCTCTGTGAGTGATAGACTTGTTCACCGACGCCAAGAATCTGATGTCTTCTTGAGAATGCTCTTTCTTGTCGTCAATGAGCCTCTCGGGGAAATCCATGTTGATGGTCTCTCTAACTAATCTATCCAGATGCTTGAGCTGATCTACCTCTGCTACTGCTGTGACCTCAGCCTTGTTTACAGAGAAACTACAACTTATGTCACTCTGTACTTCTTCAGCGTCTCTCATCACATTCCAAACCACCCAACCGAGCATAGTTCTTGCAGCATGAGGGCTACCCGCTGGACCAGTTTTCAGATCAAACGGGGTGTAGGCATCTGACACATTGTTACCAATCAGGAGTCCAATGTCTGCATCTATTTCAGGCAAGCTGATGTCTTTAAGATGGTCCCACCTGGAGATGTCATCAGTCTTTGGAATATGGTGCTGGGGAAACTGGTATTGTGTCTTTGGTATACATGACTGGAAGATCAATCTCATTCGTCATGTCTAAGTCGCTGACCTTCAGCCCGTCGATGAGATACGTCTTCATGGAGTAGGGCTTACCCATGGTGTCCAATGTAATGGACTTACATGGACCACTTGCTCCCAACTGCCGGGCTAGACTCTCACTACAGAAGGAAACCGTGCTTCCAGTATCCATGAATGCGTACGTTGGTACAGCCTTGATACCATCTCTCAGCCGGACTTTAACCGGTACAATTGCCATGGTGCATTGACCCTGCTGACCGGCCCTCGTATTACCACCTGCATACTTTGCAAAGTTTGCACACTGCCCACTGCTGCCATCTGGATTAGGCTTTGACTCGGGCTTGGGAACTCTGTTCTCATCGTGGAGGCAGGTTGGATGTCGACGTTTGCAAATGTCACAAGTGGATCTATGGCGACACTCCTTACTCTGGTGACCACGCTTGAGACATCCGTAACATAGACCTTTGGATTTTGCAAACTCTGTTCTTTCAGACAGAGGCAAACTGGACAGACGCTTGCACTTGTCAGTATGATGGCCTGTGTCAGTGCAATATATGCACACGTTCTTCACTTCATTGCCAGACTTTACTGCTGTCGACCTGTTGTCTCCTTCTCTGTTACGCCATGTCTGCTCGGATTGGCCACTTGAAACCTCGGTTGCAAAGCTGCCCCTTGAACGATTGGTGTGCTTGGTGACGACCTTTGCCCCTGTGCCTTTTACATCTTGGCTCAGGGCCTCTCTGCCGTACATGGGATCCATCACCTTCTTTGCCTCCATTTTTACAAATCGAACCAGTTGGCTAAATTGGACAGTCTCGCCTTTGTCTGAGGTCTGCCGAACAACATTTCTCCACCTGTCATGAAGATAGAATGGTAGTTTACCCACCAACTTCCTCATGTTGTCGGGGTACTCGAGGACCTTCACTGCTTGAATGCATTTTACAGCATTTTCACACTCAACCAGCAGAATTGAGAAGTCATCAAGTGCCTTCGGGTTGTCCGGACGAACACATGGCCAATCGAGTGCTTTCTTGATGAAGGAGTGGGCCATGAGATGCACGTCTCCATATCTAGATGCCAATTCTTTTAGAGCTGCAGGGTATCCTTGCTCAGCAGGAAGATGGCTGAAACCTGAGACAACTTTATATGCCTCTCCAGTAGTGAACTGCTCCAAGTAGCTCATTCGCTCATCGTCATTATCAGTATGTACTGCCACTTTAGTGTTGAACTGCCGGATGAATTTCCGGTAGTCGACTGGTTCACCACTAAACCGCTTGATTTCAGGAGTAGGCCTTTTTAGTTGTCTGACAACTGCAAGAAGAGCGTTGTCACCTGACATGCCAGTTTCACTTCGGTTGCTGTCACAGTGCTTGTCACCTTGAGCTGAAACAGAATGGTCATTATTGACATGCAATGGCACTGGTACACTATGGCATGATGAACTATTACAACTTTGTTTACCATGTTCTTGTACACTACTACTTTGGTTATGACTTTCTGGTGTAAAACTATGAGCATTCACATTTAGTGCAGATTGACCACTATTTGTCTGGTTTACCAAGTGTGACTGGTTATTGGGTTGTGCTACAATGGACACAGTTTCATTATTCAACTGCTTAACTGAATTTGAATCTCTAATTGAAACAGCATTTGATTGTAATTCAAAACTGTCCAAAACTCTTTCCTTGGCATGAACAATGTCCAGTTCTGTGGTCAAATTCAGCTCCTCTTCTTCCAACCTCAATTTCAACTTGGCCATCTCTATCTCTCGTCTCCTCTTGAGTGCCTTCATTCTTGCCTCCAAAGCCGCTTTCTCCTGCTCCGCCTTGAGTCGTGCCGATGATACAGCGCTGGCAATGGAAGCTCTTGAGCCCCTTCCACTGATGTGTGATATGCTTGTCAGATTTTCGCTGTCAGTGGTGCCATGGCGTTGGCGTGGAACTCCGACATCTTGCTCCTTCTGTGACCGGACCGTTTCCCAGTTGGAGTAATACACCTTGAAGTTCTTCAGGTAGGTATCTCTACTGTCCCAACTGTTGTCCAGATACTCCTGTAATTCTTCCTTGGACAGCAAAGTACAGTACTCGCTGTTTTCTTTGAGCAAGTCCTCGTAAGTTGACATCCATTCCTTATATTCAGCGCGTACTTCACCTTGGTCATGCTTTTCATTCATGAGAAGTTCAAGCCTTTCAGTTTTCGACTTTATTTGCCTGAACAGCTGTGACACGCGCTTTGCTTTCATGTCCTTTTGGTAGGCAAGTCCCTTTTCTGTGTGCATTCTTGCCCTCGATGATTCATGTAAAGCAGTATCTTCACTGTCCATGTCAACTTTCTCATGGTCATGACATGTAGCTCCTTGCGTGCTAAGGTCTTCTGCCCCTTTATCCATCCTGGTAGTAAACGTCAATGATGAATCTGCCAAAGATTACCGACGAAAATATGCTGTGCGCAGATCCAGAAGATTTTATTGTCGTGTACAACTTCTGACAGTTTTGAAATCGAGATCCTAGAATGCTGTTTTCTCGGAATATACAGCTGAAGCTGAGCTGAAACTTCATCGGGTTAGTTGTTCATCACCCTTCTTTAGATTTTGAGCACTTTCGTTGCTTTAAACGAACAAAATGCACAAATTACAATGATAGACTATACCTTTAATAATTCCCGTTCATGATGTTAATTATTAATATCATGATGACGCGTCTTCTGATCATTATGTTTGACCCAGGTGGCATGTTCACTGTGTGTAAATTTTACTGATCTCATGGAGGTTTTTCGCACCCTCTGTTATTGCTAACATTTTACGTGAATTCCAATCAGCACATAGTATTGTCAAATACGTTAGGCTATACACAAACTCACCATATATTAGTTATTACTCGTTGCAAATTATCAACACTCACTGGTTGTAGTCAGCTCAGTTTTACATATTGTTATTCTATGTTGGATATCCCACTCAATAAGCCGAGTAAGACGATTCTCCAAAACGAAATCGCGGTTATATCGTGAGTTATTGTTGCTGATGTATTGCGTGCTAATCGTACTACGGGGACTGTCCAGTTTATGGCTATCTACACACGCGTACTGCAACATAACCTGAGCCAAATAGCTGCTCAACATAATGCAATGACGAGATCCATAAGGTTCATAGTGCAATGCACAATACAACTATTTGTACGTGCATTGTGTAGACCTAGCTGTAGATAAAGTCTGTACGTGCTGCTCTGGTTGATACTCAGACTATCAATACGCCATACCATCCGTACACTTCCACAAGTTCGAGTTTTGTATTGCAATGTCGGCGTCTCTCTCTAACCCCCCCCCCCCCCCACTCGGAACTGAATCGTCATATAACTGCACCACCCGTCATCCAAACTTTCCAAATAATATTATTCCATAACTAAAAATTAACGGACTCTTTTCGTTCGTTCTCTCATGTAACTTAATATGAGCGAATATCAGTTATGAAAGAATTAACCGAAGATGTAAAACAAAATCATGTACATGTACATCTTTCCGTATGGTCGTACGTTGAATCAAAAAGTCTGTATAAATATTATATTTTATTAATAAATATCTTGGAGAGTTGATGGTTTCTAATTGGTCAAGACTCGAACACGTGGCCTGGCATGAACGGTGATAATGGACCGGCTTCAAAGATCAAGCGAATAAATGGCCCCTGAACCAGCATTAATCAAGCCCCGTTCAGCCCCATGCAAGCCAATGATTGGTCAAAATATAGCAACAGTCCTGCGGTAGCTTGTAACAATAGAGCACTGCACATGCGCTCAACCCCCATCGCTTGATACTGACGCGCGCGTACGCAACACAGTTGCTAGAGATGTGTGCGTGCGCGCGCGTAAGGAAGTTTTGAAACGACATCCTACAGCAGTATACAAATATAACATGGTTTGAGGGTTAACAATCGATATTCGCTCCCCGAGGTATTGGAAGTTGACAAACAAGTTCCCGAGGCGAAGCCGAGGGAACTAGTTTGTCAACTTCCAATACCGAGGGGAGCTAAAATCGACTGTCAACCCGAAATAAACCATGTTATATTTGTTTTACTATACCTCATACATATTCAATTGCCGATTTGTTTTATATATAATTGTGCACTTAAAACAAAATTATCGGAGAAACTTGAACAGCTCACCAAAAGAATATTGTTGCTCAACTTCACTAGTTCGGTTCGTTTGCAATACAGTAACTACAGTTGTAAATACAGTTGTTTGTGTACAACTTTCTTTTGTACAGAAGGCATCTTTATTGTCCATACATTTTCTCCAGTCCGGCAATTATATAATTTACTCGAACCGCGTACCGTGCAACCAAACAACTCTTTTGGGCGATGTTCGCGCGTGCGTACTACACCCGTGCGACAGTTCCTCGATTGCTTTGTAAAGCGCATGCGTAGTAGACTGTCGCACGTGTAACCCGTGCGACAGTCTACTACGCATGCGTATTTAGCCTGCGCGTGAATCCTCGCGCGCGAGTTTGGTAAACAGCAAGAATGACATCTGGCACGAGATGGTGAACTGACCAGTGAGAGTTTGGCTCTCGATCATGAATATGTATGAGGTATAGTAATGCAGTATATACTGAGGATGTTTACGACGAAAGCGTAGATCTACGATTTATTTTCTTTGAACACTTCACCCATCGACATATTTACCTTTCCTAAATCAAGCATCTTTGTAATTCCGGACACAAGGAATGTGCAAACGAGATTTCAGCTTCCTCCATCAGGTAAAGATATGAAAACATTGTTGTTTCGCTACGGCAGCAGTTTCTGTTGAGTTTTCGTCGTTATAGCTGTTAAGCTAAAATATGGCCCATGAACATGAACACAAAAAAAGTCTGGAAATATCGCCGTAAGAAAGTAACAAAATTGTAGCATTTTAACTGTTTATTTCGTTAAAAATGCATTTATTAATGGGAATAACAGTGTGAGGATCCGGTCTTCACTGCGTGATAATGACCGGATGTGGGGGTGACCGCTGTTCGTCTCGGTCCATTAACAGCGGTCACCTCCACACCCGGTCATTATCACGCAGTGAAGACCGGCTCCTCGCACTGTTATTCCCTTATTAATGCTGCTTGATTAAAACTTAAACTTGCCGTGATGACCGTTAATAAATGAAGGTGTCCGAACAAAACACGTTACCCCCCCCAAAAAAAAAAAATCATTTCTTTAATGGTAATGGACATCATTTTGAAAAATTTCAAAAACGAAAAATGCCTAAATAAAACAAAACTTAAATATCTGTACGAAAGTGTCTAAGCGTTAAATTGGTATAGCGCCCTCTCGTGAATCTAGAAATACCAACGTGATTCCAATTTTAGTCACATTTGTCCTGAAATCATTTCGAAATGATTTCAGGACAAATGTTGGACGGAGCAGTCTGAGTGTTTAAGAATCAAGAAAATATTAATATTCAACAGGCATGTCTTAGCCGATGCGTTTTGGCTTGCACGACGACACACACCCACACATACACCCACACACCCATACACATGTGTGTATTTGCCTGCAATCGGGGACTCCATTTGTCCCTCTTTTTTTCCCATTAACTTTTTAGGAATACCTCCCACATGTTTTGTACACATCGCCAAATTGGGGACCTTCGGGAATTGGGGACCCTATTGTCCTCTATTGTTCAACGTCCCCTATTGAACGCAGAAACAAACTCAACAACACACACCCACGTTTGTTGATGTAAATCGAGGATTTTCTATTGTTCCTCTTCCATTTTCCCTTGTTTATACTCTAACTTCTTTGCAACAGCTCTTATTGGTTTTGTATACGTTTTCTAAACGAGGTGTCCTCGATTTGGTTCCAGTCCTCGATTCATCAATGATGTTGCACGTGTGTGTCCTCGACTTCACCATAAACAAACACCGGCAATAAAAAAAAAAAATCCTCGCGTGTTCTAAAACAGACGCGACACAGAAAGCGAGCATTAATTAAATGGCTAACTTTAACAACAACAAGAATTAATTAATTTATCCTCGTCGCCAATGTTGTATTGGCACCTAAATACCTCAGTGCGGGGTGCACAGCGGTGGGGACTCGATACAGAGACACATGTAGACTGTTTGAAGCTACTCAACTTTTAGCAACAGCTCTCATTGGTTTTGTACACGAATTTTCAATCATTGACTATCGGTCAATCCTGGACCCTTTATTTGTGTCCTTACCCTTTTGTCCTTAGTGCCGGTGTTTACATACTCACATGTGCATGATTTATGCGTGACTTGACAATTAAAATTATTCGGAATTTGTTTGCAATGGCCTTATTTCTTTATTTGTCACACTTTGCAAGTACTTCTTTTCTCTCCATTTTTCATTCATCTTTTGTATTTCCTTTTTGCATACCCCCTCCTTTTATCAATTACTAATCTTTTCTGTTATAAATATATACTTTCGGCTGTTTTATTTCATTTTACTTATGATGTAGGTGTTGTCCGTTCTTTTCATAATTAGTTTAAACGAAACGAATTACGTATCAGAAAATTAACATTAAATGAAAAACATTGCACAAATGTCACAAATGCTTGCCTATTCACGAAATTGAATGCCCAAAACGCTTACCGCGGAGAGTCCGCGCGAATTTGAACGCTATTTGCATGTTTTTTTTCCTAATTGAATGCTGACTCTTTAATTATGTTTTCCAAATGTGTGCAATCGTGTGCTCATGAAGTTAAATTGATTGATACAATTTTTGCTCTTTGAATGGTGATCTAGTTCGTCAATCAATTTCGTCGTAAATTGAATGAACCTATCGTTAATTCAGATGCTAAGTTTACGAAGTTTGGCGGGAAAACCTATATTTAAATCTAAACACAGTTGAAATAAACTTCAATTTCAATACAAAATTGGTGGAAAATGTATTTCTCTCTTCCAAACTACCTCTTCGCGAAATGTTTGAACCTAAATCTGTGGCGCGCTCTCTTTGGAACAAAACCCGCTGCGCGCAACGCACAACGCGCGCACCAGCATGCATTTGCACACGAATACTGCGCCGTGGAAATATCCTTTTGTTGCTAATGGTAAAGTACCTTGGTTGCTATGGGTATAGTATTTTTGGCCGTGCACAGAAAGATAGCAAAAATAGAAAGTAACATGTGACTCGCTCTTGGCAAATCAAGACACAGAATCTGTGGGTTAGGTGTTATAAATGCACATAAACTATTGTCGCAGCTGTGATAGGTTCGTAATGGGAAGCGATTAATGGATATTTCTATTCTGGGAAAAGGTTAATTAATTTGTGTTCCTGTGCAATGAAAAAAAAAGGAAATCTGTGCAATTATTCATGGTGCAGTAATCGTGGATCTTTTCAAAATAATCTTTCCGCGATTACTACTCGGCAACTGGAGCCACGACGCTTGGAATCTATTACGCGATCTCCCAGGCAGGAAACCAGCTTGCTCTGGTATTAGGTGTTTTGTAATTGGGCCTCATTTTTTCCTCGCGTGTTTTAAAACACACGCGACACAGAAAGCGAGCCTTAATTAAATGTCTAACTTTAACAACAACAATAATTAATTAATTTATCCTCGTCGCTAATGTTGTATTGGCACCTAAATACCTCAGTGCGGTGGGGACTCGATACAGAGACACATGTAGACTGTTTGAAGCTACTCACTGCCTCATGGCTGGCACACGCACGGGAGTGCAAGACCAGCACGGCACGCTTGAATGGTTTATTATGTAATCTACTACAGTAGGGGGATCGGTCTGTATAGCTTTTTGCTTCTTTAGGGTCTTTCCCTGGCTTAAGGATATCGATCACACGAGCTTTCCGCCATATTTTAGGAAGTTGGGAGAGGATTACACAATTGTTGAACAGCAAGAGGAGCCACTTTCTTATAATCGGTCCAAAATGTTCAACCTGTTCTGTGCGAATTTCATTTAGACCTGCTGCCTTGCCGTTCTTGAGGCAATCGATTGCTGTTTGGCGTTCCTTGCTGTCAAACCACAAGGTTGGCTCTTTATCACCCTGATGAAATGGACTCCTTTTGTGGCGTTTCTTGTGTGGTGGTTTACCGTTTAGAAGCAGTTGGTGAGCAACCTGATCTGATGTAACGAAGAGTGCAGCGTTGCCTTCTGGGGGTCATTGTTGAGCTTCTTGATGGTTGACCAAGCTCTCGTACTGTTGTGTGTCATATCGACACTGTCAATAAGTTCTTGCAAGGATTTCCTTCTTTCCTCTGATATAACTGCCTTGAGCCTCTCCCCTGTGTTCAGGTTGGTGTTCATGGTTTCCTCTGAGAAGGGATCTTCTTCGTACAGTTTTGACTACTTCTCGTACAATGAGGCACTGTCAGCTGAGATGCCAGGTATTTAGTACTCCCTACATCCGCGTAGATTTCTTGCAAAGCCTGGTGGTTTGAAAACAGAGGTCACGATTAGTTTGTGACTGGGATCCATGGGTTCTTACACCCTCAGTTGCAAATGGCACATACCCTCGGGTGTACAAAACACCATGGACCCCATCACAACAGGCAACAATTGTATAATGTAGCACGGCTTGTTGCCGTGGTTCGACCAATCAGGTTACAGAATTCAAGTTTATTTGTCGACAGTGTGAAACACACACAACGTGTATCGTACATTGAATTGGATATGGCTGGAAATACGAAATTGTATGCCACAAAATGTCCGCCGCATCACGATGTAAACAACCAGTTATTTCGTCTTTTATCGGGAACGGCAAGACAGATTCCTTACAACGGAAGAACAATCCATTTAGTATAATTAATCCAAAAATGTGGACGTACTAAAATTACATTTCTCTTGCAATAAGTCTGTAATGGCTTTGGCATTGGAATCCGAATTTCCGTGTCTTTTCACTAATTCCAAAATTATCATTCCGTTTAACAACTGTTAGGTTTTTTCACTCAATGTACATTTAACTCTTGATATTGTGTGTTTTTGGCTGACAGCTCAGACAGAGGAATTTCATACTAATTTATTTTAATTTTAGCTGAGATTCTAACTTGACATCCCTCGTATTTTCGTTTTTTTTTTTTTTGGAGAGGGGGAGCCTTGTTTTTATTGATGGAATTTTATTTGTTCCAGTTTCAGTATTGGAATGTTATTTTCTGTAATTTTATTTTATATTATGTACCTTATTTTCTCAGAAATAAACTGTTAATATATAAGCCGATTAAGTATCCCAAAAAACATGATATAGGCCAGGTAAACACAGCACATTTTAACATGGTCTAATTCTTTACCTGTGTTATCCTTTTTCGTGTAGTGAGCTTGATAATATAATTGACATCATGGCGGTAACGTACACAACAATCATTCTGTTAACATTTGGACTTTGCGAAGCAGCCTACAAGATATGCCCAGCAATGTCCGGTGAGTAATATGCCTATAGTTTGTTAATTATCCATCAAATAATAAATGTTGCCGTTAGTTTTCTCGTCGTAAAATCTCTTTTAATCTCACTCATACGATTCTCTGTCACTTGTTTTCAGTTAACAGTACTCACAGTGCTTTTGGTACAAGCAACTACGTTCAACGAGGCCTATGGCACCAAGTAACATGCCCATCCTTCCGTCCCGATGAGGCTATTATTCGGGTCATTTGGTACAAGCAAGAAAGTCCCACGACCCCTGAGCAAACTTTGATTACTCACAAACGTAACGAAGACTTTCCAGAGAGCGACAGGTACGCGTTCGGGACGTCTGGTTTCAGCCTCGTCATTAAAGGTGTCGAAGAAAGTGATGAAGGAGGGTACGTGTGTCAAGTCATACCAAGTGTCACAGCAACTCGAACCAAAGCAACCAACATCCAAACTATAGGTACGATGTTTTTAAGTATCATTGGCTAAATGGTCCTACAGAACAGGCCCATCGGTCAAAAATATGTGATTTGTTCATTTGTATTGGACGGAAAAGAACGAACAAAACGATTGTTTAATAAATGACATAGTTTTACTAAGGGAGAATATAGTTCTTGTCAAATCAAAGAGTATTATCACTCTTTAAACTATCCGTAAGCCCAAATTTATTCTATGAATGCAATATTAATGTCTCCCAGTTTCCATCAATGACTCAGTCAGATAATACCCAATTTTTAACTTCAATAACACAGGCGGTACCTTTCCAGGAGGCAGCAGTCAGGCATCTTCCACTGCTACCTTCCAGCGAGGTCGCAGACAGACGCTACCGTGTGAGTGCGCGTCACAGACACCAGACGTAGTGTATTGGTCAACGGGAGATACTACAGATACACAGATCATTGGTGCACGTTTCTCTAATGGTGCTGCCCTGCAGATCCAACATGGCGCCGATTACAGCATTGGTAGCGACGCTTCGCTTACATTGAACTCCCTGAATGACGTACAAGATACACAGACATTCTGGTGTCACGTGTTCCAGTCAGATGGTACCCTCAGAAATTGCGACACTAATGCCAAGATTTCAGGTAATGTCAAAGGTATGTTAATCGACGGGAACCTCGGACGTAGTGCTTTTTTCGAAAACGAAGTTAATATTGCCAAACAAATTAAAAAAAAGAAAGAAATAAATCAAAACAGTTAGAAACATTTTCTGAACTAAACTTTCATTACCGATTTTAAATTCTTCCTTTGTCTGTTTTTGAACAGTTTTTTTTACATTTTATTCTCTCTTCGAAGTAGATGAGGTGGAATCAGCTAGCGATGCACTGAAGGCCTCGGAAAGATCTTTCTACCTGCGAAGCGACACACAGCAGATACTCCCTTGCCTGAGCTGGACACCTGGCGACACAGCTTGTGAGGTGGAGTGGAGTAAGCTCGACAACCCAGATCGACAAGTCCTCAGTTACAACCTGTCGACTAGTGTCGTCGATTCTAGTCCTGAATTCGATCTCGCCAGTGACTTTGGTTTGGTGATTCAGTCAGTTGATGATGACCATGCTGGAGTGTATCGATGTGCTGTGGGAGATGAAAACCAGATAGATGTTGAAATCCGAGTGATAGGTAGGTACAAGGACTGAGCTTTTAGCTGAGACTTTAGATTTCTAGTTTCATGAAGATTACCATTTTGTCTTTCATATCTGCAAGGTTTCATATTGCAACAGACAGTTGTATAGCCTTTTATTGCCATGTTAATCTGTTGTAAGCCGCCGGCGGTGCTGTGGGCCGCCGGCGGAGGGCCTCCGGCGGAGTGCCCTGACTTGTTTCTTTTGAGATGGGCGCGCACCGGAAATTGGGTTCTATTTCGGGATGCAATTGTGGTTTGGCGGGCGCCGGAGGGGATTTGGCAAAGTGCCTGTGGATTGTTGTACATTGTTATACATTGTTATACATTGCTATCTGTATTGTGTTTGGAAGAGCACAAGTGTAACGTTGTAGTTGTTGTTGTTCTGGCAGCCGCGCGGAAATTGTCTTGTTGGAAGTCCTGTGCCTGCTCCCCTTTTCCGTTGTTACCGGTCTTGAGGGACAAGAACCCCTGGTCCACGCTACAATATGCAGGCATCATTCCAATCTCTTTTTTCTCTCTTTCTTATTGTGCTTTCTTACTATAGGGGATCGCTTTCCATTGGATGGCGGTAGCGCTACAGAAGGTAAAAGCGTGACCGTTGAACCTGAAAGTAGATTTTCCCTTCAATGTCCGGCTCTCTCAGACATCTCCTTGACAGGCAAATCAACTTTGTTCTGGTCCTTTGGCGCCAATGATGCAGAGTCTACCACTGTGATCAGCACACTGAATCTACCAGATGGTCCCATAAAGATGGCTTATCTGGGAAAGGACTGTCTAGGCATATCAATGGAGGGCGCTCTGCTTCTTAATAACTGTTCCCTAGAAGATGATGTCAGATACTGGTGTCATGTCTTCCCTGTGAATGAGGATCTGATGCGGTCATACGTGGATGTGTTAATAGAGGGTAAGTGCATGCCTTTCATGACGTCACATCTTGCTACCATGTTGTCGGCTGCTGGTCTTATCATAATTATCATACGTGGATGTATTTATCAATACATGTAGTATATGTTTACTTTGATCTTTTGAAATAAAACAAAGTGACTGCACTTTTATGTGAGGAGATCGATATAAATTACCTGCTAAAAAGAACTTTGATAAAAATTGGAATGATGCGCAATAGCAAAAGATCATCAGAATGACGCCATTAAATCCTTTGTGGGATGCCAAACCATCCTTCTGTATATCACAGTCAACTAACTGTAAAGGAAATTATTGTATACTTGTAGATTCAAGCTATCGTTTGATATACGACATTCAAATTGTGGGAGGCTTAAAGCCATATAATACAGTTAATTGCATTATTGTCATTTGATTCTCTGTATGCATTAGATTCAAACGATGAACCTGAAACATTCAATATCGTTGTCATCGCCATTTCCGTGTCTTCAATCGTCGTTCTTCTTGGAATTTTTCTTTTCCTGATTTGGAAGCGGTGTCGACGGTCTTCGCATTCTAGAGAAGACAAGGAGAGAGGTGGTTACACACCGCTGGATGAGCAAGGTAGAAAAATAGAAGGGGTAACAAAATAATAAAAAAGGCATTGTCAAAAGAATATGTCAGCGATGTCAATGAATGCCTCTTGTATTTCGCATCCCCGTCAAGATATTTCGACGAACTTGTTTCTTTTGTTTCATGGTTAGCTTATCAGGAAGGGTGGGCACGATACTTGGTGCCATACACCTTGCTGAAGTCAGTACAAACTGGATTGTACTTTCCATGATTGCTAACCAGATAAGATAATACGCAGACCGGAGAATATGGGCATTGGGAAAACATTGCCCCGTTGTTGTATTAAAAGTGACTTAAAAGCCTGTTTTCAACGAGCTTCTTTCAATGAAATCTTTGTGACAAAATACGCGACCAGTTTTTAATACAACACTCTAACAGTGCGATTGTATTCGAGTGTTCAATGCAACCTGCAGGCCAATATATGCACTCAATTAAAATGTTATTTTTTCCTCTAATTGTGTGACAGAGTCCGTACCGAAGTTGGATTTTAAGACGCTTGCGAAGAAGATCAAAGGGTTTGTGATCAGCAAATTGGGCAGAATTCCTATTACTCCGTGGGTTGACCAGGATGATGTTTGCTTCGCACCGATAGATACAGTCTACAGACCCTTAGAGATGTTCGTCAATGTCTCACACGGAGGTAGCACTGTAAAGTATCAATTAGACTCGGAGTCTGGTATCTTTGATGATGGTATTCCAGAATTGGCCAGTAAGCATGCTATAATACAAGGTAGACGGGGTTGTGGTAAGACTACGTTTTTGTATAGACTGATATACGACTGGGCCATGGGAAGAGAACGTGCACTATGGGGTGGTGATCAGATAGTTGTTCTTGTCCCAGCTTGGTTGCTTATTAAAGCTAAAACCATCGGTGAAGTAGTTGTTGAATGCATGCTTAAAAAAAAAGCAGACATTTCGGCCGAAGGCATTAACGCACACTACGCACGAGACAAAAGCAACCTGACAATTTTGGTAGATGACTGTAATGGCAAAGATGACATTGACGCTGTCATGAAAGTATTGACAGATAATGAATTTTCTGGCTGTCATTTAGTTTTGACGACTAGAAACGCAGAGCTGGCAATAGCTGCGTCACACAAACATAGCATGCGCCATGTCACCATTACCGGCTTTACGCTCAGTAATGCTATCGAATACATCAATGCAGTTTTGTATACTGCTGAAGAAAGACGGCAAGCTACCCCTGAGAAAAAGGCAGTAAAGAGTAAAACTGAAGCGAAATCAGTCTCGACTGTGAACAAAAACATCGAGCAACATCTGCCGGACACCAGACAGTCTTCAAAAGTGTCAACTCTTCAAGAAACTAAGGAAAGCCCTGCCACTGACGAAAATCTTGAGAAGATAGAAGCACCCAAAACACTTACCCCAAAAAAGAAACGAAATCTTCATCGATATCTAGAAGAGGAAATTCTTCAAACGGATCTTTCATGTCTACCAGCTGTCTTGGTAGCTCTCTGTCAGATGTCAATCTGGACAAAAGGTGATGCCTTTAAACCTGATGTTACTGTGGCAAATTTGTTTTTCAGAATTGTCAAGTGCATGCTCGACAGGAAGAAAGGTCGAGGAGTTGGTGTCATTGAGGGAAAACAACGCAGTCTTTTCACGGAAGACCAACTGGACGTACTTGCAGAGCTTGGTAGAGGGGCTTATTCAAGGCTGGTTGACAGTTCTGCAAATTATGCAGACTACTCGAAAGCGGACTTCTTGAGTTCGTTAGAGAAGGGAGAGCACGCCTTGGAAGTTGCAAAAGAAGTTGGACTTCTTCATCCATTGCAGGTTGAGTCCAAGGTTGAATCTACGGAGCAAATTACTGAGGCATTTTCTTCTGAGTTATCAGAAGTGGAGATACGGACAGGGTGTCTTTGTTGTAAGCGGAAGCAACAGCAACAAAATGGGACTGAACGAGAAACCATGCACCAGGATATAAAACTCACTCCCCTGACAAGTCCGAACGAAGAAAGGGCTTGTTTTGTCTTGGAGATTCTTGAGCAGCTTTGCGTCAGACCACAGGAAAAGTGAAAAAATGGTTCGAAGACATCACAAAGATTGGCCACAGCGAGATTCTCAAGAGGTTTTCAAATGTATTTCAGTTCGCCATCCAGGATAATCAGTTTGACAGAGAAGCTCTTGTTGATTATTGTGCAGAGATCATCAACAGGGGATACAGTCAGGTCAGGCCCCTCCATGTTGTGATGCGATTGGAGAAGTTCGTAGAGTTGTGTCTCCAGGTGAATTTTGAGGGCCAGTGTGAGGGGATCCTGAACAAAAAGCTGATTTCGATATTTCCTGACGGGAGGGTCCGCTTAATTGGGATATCGAGTTACAAACTGCGTCTGTTGTCATACCTACTCGAACATGCTCAGTCAGAAGATAAGAGTAAACTGAATGTGAAGTCGGTTGAATTGTTACGAATTGGTCGATATGACTGGTCAGAGCTTCAAGAATACATTGAATATTTTACTGCTGCAAAAGGGGAACATGAGAAGAAGAAGAAGGAGAAGAATGATAAGAAGGAGGAGGAGAAGAAGAGGAAGAAGGAGAAAGCTTTGGAAACCAAAACGGAAGGTAGTCGGCCATCTACAACTGGAACCAAACAGGCAAGAGATCCAGCACCACAGGAAGATATCGAGAAGCTTTCAACCGATGCAGTGGAGGTCAATTCCAGCGAGCCTCTGCCAGACGCAGAAAAGCATCCGAAATCTGAAGCTAGCCAAACAACAGTCCAAAATCCACGAACCGACATGGTAAATTCTTCCGTGAAAAGAACCAAACAAACCAACAAATCCCCGACCAACAACCAACAGTCTGCTGATCAACTTCAACAGCTGGATAATAGGCAAAAGACTGTCACAGACGTCGGAGGAACCGACATAAACAATAGACCAAAATTGGAAGCCCTGCAATCTTCACCTCCAGATGCAAAGTTTGGCAATTCGAAAACTCTTTCATCCGACTCTCGAATCGGTCTTGGAAATGCACCTGATTCAAAACATCAACCTGATACGAGACGTTCAACTGATGATGACATTCATCAGCCTAGCGCAATTCAATCAAGGGCAGTTGATGAGCAGCTCTCACTCCCCGGAGAAGGGGAAAACAAATGTGAAGATGTACTGCTTCCAACACAATCACTATCAGTACCCATGATAAGCGACTCATCACTCGAGGATGATGGTAATGAAGGTGGATCTAAAGACTTGTCTGTAGATGAAGATATTGTATCCTTTGATGTAATTGATAGTAACAAGGATCTGGCTGTACTCAAAAAGCTGCGTGAAAGGATAGAATCAAGCCACCAAGACATGCCCCAGTTTCCTCCTGACGAGTCAGACATCAGTGTCCTTAATACTTTGCAGTATTTTGGTCTACAGGAGCTCTTAGAGTCACAGGCAGGGGAGTGCTACTCATCGGGTGCAGCAAGAGACTTGGCTAGCTACCTTCCTCGTCTGGTAATGCTGGAGAGTCTGGTTCTGGTTGGGACGATTCTGAGTTCAGACGCTATTTGCGACTTGGCGAAAAGGGCTCACAAACTCCGAAACTTGAAGAAGCTCGATCTGCGTCTGAATAAGCAATTCGATGACAGAGCCTTCGTGGCGGTAACAAATTTACCTCTACGTCAGTGCAAAAAGTTGAGGGATCTCAGACTGTCTCTGTGCAAAGTATCAATTCAAGGGTTTGATCGTGTACAGAAGGAAATGAAGAAGGATGGCGAGGACTCGTGGGGAAGATTGAAGACACTGTATCTGCTGCATGGATCACCTGCCGAGACGTTTGTAGGATTCCTCAGCAAAAGCTTAAAATACTTCCATTTTGTTGAATGTTTTCATCTTTCAGCCGCCATTAAGAGTGAAAAAATACAGGACAGAAATCTGGAAATGTTCGAGCAAAATATGAAAAATCCGAAATTCATGACAAATCTTGAAGCCCTAGACATTGGCAACATGGAGACACTGAAGGTAAAAATGGCCTCTTTGAAACTCCCTAAGAGGAAGGGATCTGGAATCTCTGAAAAGGTTCTGACTCTTGTTTCTGCTGTAAAAAAGACAGCAAGCGACATTGCAAAACCGGTGGTAAAGCAGGCAGCAAGCGGGATTGCAGAATCGGTAGCAGAAACGATAGGTGGTCCAACTGGTGCCGTTACGGGTGCGGCTGTGGGAGCTGCGATGGAGGTCGGTGGTAACGTTGTATCGCCTGTTGATAACAGTCACTTTAGTGTCGGAACGTTCAACTGAAGTCTTGGAGAATGATGGTGATTTGTTTAAGGTTTTCCTCCAGATTACGTCTTTCTTCCATATTAATCGGGGCCACAAACCGCAATATTAACACCAAATTATGTATTGGTGAGCATGCAGATACATCCCCATAAAAGTTGCGCTGAAGCGAGGGGAGGGGATGTTATTGTTTCGGCTTGTTTCTCGGGTTGTTGGGGTGCTGGGGTGTTGGGACGCTTGTTTATTTGTTTGTTAGGGGCGTTTATTTGTTTTTGTTTGTTTGTTGGGAGGATATTGTTTCGTTGTTTTTGTTTCTTTTTTTTTGTTGTTGACTGTTAGAGTTACTTAATGTGTAATGTCATATAATGGTTGGTTACATTTCAATTTTGTTACACCATGATGTTTTGGTCCGTGTTGTTTGATTGTTAATTGCCTTATTGTATTGAGCTATTTCATTTTTTTAATTGTTTATTGGGTAATTGGGTTATTCTTTTTCAATCTGCTGATTTCTTCATAGCCAAATTTTCCCTTATTAATTTCCCAGCAGTAGTGTTGTTGTTGTTGTTGATATATATGATTATATTTCTTTGCTTGCTAATTTGTTCTAAAAAAAGGTGAAATTTAAAACTGATAACGTTAAAAGAGCGTTTGTGAGAATAATTTAGGAAGTTGATTTACCATTTACGTAATTTATGAGCGCTGATTTCTGTTTTTTTTTTCAATCGTTGATTTATATGTAACTGTAAGGCTTCCAATGAAAAGAACTTGTATAGGACTGAACTCAATGAATGTCAATCAATCTTAGGATAAATTACAGATTCAAGATGGGAGTCCTCATTCATGTACATGCAAATATACGCTCTTGCCAACATTTCGATGTGGATTATGTTTAATGGATTTTTTTGTAATGGACTTGCAGTGCTCGAGCTGAGTAAACTCAATGAATACTAATGTTCAGATAAATTACAGATTCGAGTTTTGTAGCCTCGTTCATGTACATGTTAATGTTAGCTGTCGGCAACATTTCGCTGTTAAAGATGCTTAACGAACTCTTTTGTTTTATGGACTTGCAGTGTTCGAGCTCAAACTTAAATACACTTCTGATATGTGCTACTGATAATTTCTTTCTTTACCCCTTAGTTTATACGTTTAAACATTGTATGTTAGTCATGGTTCGAGGATTGTTCTTGAATTTCTTACAATCAAATACACATATCATTATCGCATTTGTTTTTTAAGTAATTATTTGATTGCTAATATATATACACAAATGTATATGTATACGTTGAGTGTAATAAAGCGAAATGCAAATTTTAATTTTCAAAATCAAATTTTCAGTTACAGCTGCCAAACCTATTACAATGTAATTAACTGTTGCAAAAAAAATAAAAAATAAAATGTGTTCAGAAATTAAGCACTAAGTTTAAAAGCATATTCATAAATACCTAAAACAGTTTGCCCATTCCCATTGGTCGAGAGCCCGTCACGTGGCCGGTCTTAAACGGATTATAAAGACATGGCTGGGTGGTCTTAAACACTTTTCCCACTGCCACATGAAATTTTGACTCCTGTGAAATCCAGTGCCTTGCATTTACCGTTGTATCAAGTAAGATTGGAGGCTTTGCATGGTGGATATACTAAATAATGAAAGGTTTGCGGCAACACCATGTGCGAATAATTTCGCAACTAAGAGAATGGTTCTGAAAAGAACCAGAGGTATAAACTCGACGTTCCGGTCAGTATGCTCTGACCGTCTTCAGGAGAGTGCCTAAACTCTAAGAAAATCTTCAGGAGAGTGCCTAAACTCTAAGTTTCATCACCCCAGCATCAAGCCATCGGTCAACCGCACCCTAGTACAGAAAGCCTTTGAGGTCTGCGACCAAGACAACCTCAAGCGTGAACTCAAGCACATCCAGGCGTCACTACAACGGAACGGCTACAAACCCAACCGCATCAAGATCAGCAAACCTGACCAACGGGTCTCCTATACCCAAGGTCCTTCCACTGTATCTCCCTCAGTCACTCTTCCTTACATAGGTCCAGCTTCTCATCATCTGCAACGCATCCTCCGACAAGCCGGCGTCAAGGTGTACCACTCATCTGGCAACAAGCTCCAAGGCAGCCTCCATACTTACAAGGACAAGCAGGACTCCTCTTCCAAGACGGGAGTCTACCGCATTCCATGTGAATGCGGCAAAGTCTACATCGGCGAAATCGGTCGGATCCTTCCCACTAGGCTCAAGGAACTCAGAGCACATGGACGGCGAGGGGATTTAGACAAATCGGCCATTGTCAAAAATTCCCACATCAACGACCACAAAGTTGATTGGGATGCGGCCGAACTCATCGCACCGATCCAGTTCTGGCATCTAAGACGCGCATACGGGAAGCCATCGAGATCCGCAAGCCCAACACAGTTCCGCAAGACATCGGGTTTCACCTCAACGACATCTGGCTCCCACTTCTCCAGACTGATGGGTCTCCTATACACTAGGTCCTCAGCTACCACCTTAGACTGATGGGTCTCATACACCCTAGGTCCTCAGCTACCACCTTAGACTGATGGGTCTCCTATACCATAGGTCCTCTCTCTACTGACGCTGCAACCCTACTGTTCCACTTCATTGGGCACCAAGCTTGCTCTAGGATCCCGTCTACTTGGCATGCAACCTCTGGTTCTTTCTAGAACCATTCTCTTAGTTGAGAAATTCTTCGCACATGGTGTTTCCGCAAACCTTTCACCGTTGTATTAGTTGAACGTTTACAATCCTTGTACTTTTACTGGTATGTCAGTATTGTATAGCCTAAATTCACAACGCACTCATCACATTCGCATCTTAGTGTCATCGCGCGCGCCAATCTCTATAAAAGGAGTTGTTTATGTCTCACACTTGTGCTGGCCACTCCATTATATAGCTAGAGGGTTGCTTCGAAAAACAGAAAGTACATTGTTGAACAAAATCGTTGGACATTTAAATTTTGAATTGTTTTGACTTTTGGACTGTGAAGTTTTAATGAATGGGAATACAAAGGGCCGGGCTATTTTGAATATTTTACAGCCGGGGGGGGGGGAAGGCAGACTCCGCCCCCCATTAAATTTCGGCCATCAAGTGCATAGAACAACTTATCATGAACATACCCAAGACATTTCATGATTATAGGTCAAAGGGTTAAATTTGGAATTATGCCTATTTAATTATTCATATGTATGAATGGTAATTCTGCTCTGTGTAAACTACATATAATTATGGGAAAGTTCAGTTTTCACTGCGCGTAGCGCCGGAAAATTGTTTTCTACGCGACAGCCCTTGGTCCGATTTTTATGTTTTTGGTATCAAAAGATGCGCAAGGCTCGAGGCTAAAAAGTCGGGTCGGGTCGCGAATAAACATTTTGAGGGGGGGGGGATTCCACCCCTCCCCTTTTAGGGTTTAGAGTGGTTGGAGTCTGGAATGCTGCATATTACCTGAAGCGAAGCTGAAGGTAATTACACCTAGTGTTTAACAATTATACCTAGTGTTTAAGTGCACCTAGTGTTTAACAATCCCAAGCACACATTTTTTCCCCTTGTCCATAGTACCAATAAACAACACGAGGATGACGACACTAAAGTTCTATTGATTGCGCAAATAAATAATAATTCGTATGTATGTATGTATGTATGTATTTGACATGTTTTAGAGAACCATCAAGTAGTGCCAAAAGATAAAGTAATGTTGGAAATGTAGACAAAAACGCTATGTAAATAAACATAAAAAATAGATAATAATTTAGTGTTGCAACTTGTGAATGCCAAACGGTGTACTGCTGCTTTATGAATTTGGCAAAGCTTTAAGGTGTTTCTGGTGTAATTTCAAAGTTTTAACATTAATTAGTTGCTTTTAAGCTTAACGTTCATAACCTTTTTATCTGAATAATTTAAGTTCTCTGAATTCAAAAAGTTCACAGTTGCTCAGGATATATTTCCTTGATTATTATTTTTTATCATATGATCCAGCAATAGGCTTGAAATCCACCATTGTGTTGATGCAATATTCATTTATTTTGCATTTTCTTTTTTTGATAGAATGTTTCTGTTTTAAAAGGATAATACATTGCAATTTTGAAACGAGATATTTTACGTAATAGGTTTAAAGTTAAGATAACGTGATTATCTCAAATGTCTGTTTAAAAAATGTAAAACCTTGTAATATATTGTTACGCCTTGGCATATAGATGAATTTGTTTAAGGTCATCATTTGACGCACATTTACAAAGCCATGCCTAGGATGAAGCAAAATTGATGGGTCCATTTCATCCATTTGGGGTCCATTTTTTCGTTTCCCTGTTACATCTGTTAGAAGACGTTGTAAGTTCATGACACATTCTTTAGTGAATTATATTTCCGACGATGATCATGTTAAGCAGAAGCCCTTCTAAACGAAAATAGTTTGATGTTTATTTTAATGATTTAAATGGCAAATTACACAGGTCAGATGTAACAGGGACATAAAAAGTCACTCTGTTTTGGGCTAACTCTTTTACGGAATGACCAATATGCTTCATGGTTTCTCGCAAGACTTTTATTTTAAAGCACCTTTACATTGGAACTTTAGTTTACTCTGTTACCTTCATTTAACCATTCATTTAAAAACAATATTTTAATGTTGTCATTTAGCATTGCCTTAAAAATATTCATATACTATCATTAAAAAATACATGAATCATGGAATCTTGCGTTATTCGTTTCTGTTTGTCTGCAAACTTTTAAAGGTTTTCAAAAGATATAACACTATTCTTGACTCGAACGTTGCGTGTAAATATCCATTCCTCTGAAAGGTATGAAAACTCTGAGAAATTCCCTTTAAGGTGACAACGTTAGTGAAGTGCATTTTATTAAAGATTAACAATGTTACATTCTTTCCGACCATCTTTTAACCTCGCGCCATTCAAATTACTGTTCAATTTAGAACTATTTTAATTTGCATCCAGTGAGTTTGCCTTTGCGGTTTATTTGACGATTCGTAAAAATGCTTTATCCTCACTTCAGGCTTGATCCGGCATCGGCTGGCTGCATGTTATGCGAGTTAATGGCTTCTGAATAGCAGCCCTTGGAACAATTAATTATTAGACAGTTTGTATATTGAAAACTACCCACATAAGGCTAGATTGTACAGAGCAACGGTGTCATATGAAATTTGGACTCCTTAGAAAACTGGTATCT